ACCACCTCCCCCATTTGAGGATGAAGTTTCCTTTGCCTTTCAATGGAAGGTGTGGTACCCTCCTCAAGTGTTAAGTGATGCATACATAAAGCGGGACTAATACCTTTGAGATCATCAATGGTATAGCCCAAAGCACCTTTGGTGCTTTCTCTAAACATCACACAACATTTAAGTTTGGTCATCACTAAGAGAGGAATTTAGAATAACCGTAAAAGTAGAGTTAGGACCCAAGAATGCATGCCTTAGGTGCGAAGGTAGAGGCTTAAGCTCAAGGGCGCACCCTTACCTTCCTTGGATGTTGCCACCTTAAGGGCATCTTCACTTGTGATTGCCATATGCACTTTTTCCATGTCTTTCTAGGCTCACATTAAGCACCTCTTCATAGAATGCCATTTCCTTGCTCTTTAGACCTATCTTTTCATTATTCAACAACACACACTCAAGTGGATCATTAGCTTTGAGCAAATGCTCATGCATGGAATGCACAATATGATCAATATTTTCTACTCTCATACAATTCTCAAGTGAAGAACAAGGGAATTTCATGCTAGCATTCAAATCAAACTCGATGCTTTCGTCACCAATTTTAAGTGTGATCTTAGCATTTTTCACATCAATCATAGCACCGGTGGTAGCAAGGAAAAGTCTAAGAATGATAGGAATGTGAGCATCCTCATCCATTTCAAGAACAACAAAATCAACCGGAATAACAAACTTTCGAACTCTAAGTGAAACATCCTCAACCTTGCCCTTGGGGAACTTAATGGACCTATCGGCTAGTTGAAGGGTGATGTTGGTAGGAAGTTCACCAACTTTGAGGCGTTGATAGACCGTAAATGGCATGAGAGTCACACTTGCCCCAAGATCACATAAAGCATTATCAATGTGCATATCATGAATGACACATGGGATGGAAAAGTTTCCAGGGTCTTTCAATTTGGGGGACATTTTATTCAAGATTATAGTGCTACAATTCTAGGTAAGACTCACCGTTTCAATTGCATTTATCCCCCTCTTCCCACTAACAATCTCCTTAAACTTTACATAATTGGGCATTTGTTGGATAACTTCGGTGAAGGGGAGGGAAAGGTGAAGTTGCTTGTGCATTTCAATGAATTTCACAAATTATTCATCCATCTTATGTCTCAAGAACTCCATCTTATGTCTCAATAACTTTTAAGGGTAAGGAAGCTTGGGTTTCACAACTTCTTTTTCTTTCCTCTCCTCACAAGGTTTCTTAACAATTTTCTCACCCAATGGTTCATCATCTCTCTCATCTTCAACCAAAGTCTCATTTGAACTCTCCTTTGCTTTACTCTTCTTAGGGAAACTATCCTTAAGAACCCTACCACTTCTTGTCACAATAGCATTAATGGGCCTCTTAGGATCTAAGCCATGGGAAGGTAAAGAAGAAGGGCTTCATGGTCTTTCAAAGTTGGGAGATTTGATTCTCAAGCATCTTGTTGTGGGTCATTATCTCATTGAACTTTTTATCACTCACGGCCATGTAGGTATTCAACAACTTGGTTTGATTCTCAATGATTTCTTCCAAGTTAGACCAAGATGTAGAAGTAGGTGCATAGGAACTATCACCTTGAGCTTGAGTCTTTGGAACAAATCCGGGAGGAGGGCCTCTTTCAGAGTTGTTTTGAAAATTATCCTTTCCTTAATTGTTCCAATTAACCCTACCTTGATTATGGTTAAAAAAAACCTTGGTTTTGATTCCCTTAACCTTGATTGTGATAATTTTGGCCACCATAACCACCTTGGTTGTTATAGTTACCTCGAAAGCCTTGGTTTCCGTGGTTTCTATAACCGCCGCCTTGGTTATAGTTGTCAAAATTACCACCTTGGTTTCGGTAATTCCTATTACCTTGACTTCTTTGATTATCAAATCGAGATCCATTATTATTAGACACAAAATTCACATGCTCATTTTCGCCACCATCAAAATCATCACATACATCATTAAAAAAGTTAGGACAAGAAGACGAATCATGATCATAAGAACCACACACATCCTTTTTATGTGTAGTATAGTGGCAAGTATTCTTGCCTGTCACGTGGGTGACACGGGTTCGATCCCCGGCAACTGCGCCATTTTGACGTAAGGAAAATTAGGGTGGTCGACTAATCCTCCCGAAGGTCAAACAAACTTATAATCACTCATCTAACCTAAATACAAGTATAGAGGTAAGCCAAGGGTCAAATCACAAGGAACGGTAATGCTATCGTGTTTTCAATTTATGCCTAAGCTAGGTCGAAGTCAAAGGTGAAGAAAGACTATTCTTACACTATTTAACTATCAAAACCAAGAATCAAACAAACTAAATGCTAGGGAATGGGGATGAACATGTAATCATGATAATTACACCAATTTGGGAAAGGTCAAGCTAATTAAAGTTGTGAGGACTAATGGTAAAAGCTATCAATTGGAATTGAAGAGTTATCTCCTAAATATCAAACTAGGTTCCCTCTAAGAGTGACAAATTAAGAGAATCACAAATCAAACCAATCAACAATTGCCAATCCAAAATCAATTGGCCATGTCAAATGAATTCACAATGCAATCTAGTTTAGTCATCAAGGCCTAATCAAACTAAACACATGCAAACTTCCATTAATCAATTTTATTTCAACAATCAATCAACCAAAATCCCCAGATTAATCACAATAATCAATCAAGCATGCTTTACCTAAACCCTAGCAAGAGGATCTACTCACTAATCATCATCATTCAACCAAACAAGCAATTAAAAGCATGAATCAACCAAAATTGAAGAACAACTACACTAATCAAATCATCAATCAACAAAACTAAATCAAACAAGTAATTAAAGAAAGCAAATAAGAGGAGAGATAGTGAAAAATGCTCATTTATTGATTATGGAGATCTTCAATACAATTGTCACCCTTGAATCTTCAAAATCCAAAATCTCTCTTTGATTTTTCTCTTTCTAAAACTACTCATAATCTAACCCTAGATCTTAGAGAGAGAAGTTCTCAACTAAGCTAAGAAAATGAGATTTAAAATTCCATTCTAAATTGTCTTTTTAATTTTTGCCCCAAAAATGGGTATTTACATTTACAAGGATAAAAGGAAAATAAAAATAAGGAAAGAAGTGTAAAAGAAAGAATAAAAGAAATGAGAATTAAAAGAAAATAAAAAGGAAAATGAAAAGTAAAATAAATAATAAAAGATCAAGAAAACAAATATAAATAAAAGAAGTCAGCTCTGATTTTTGGCTGCTCTTAAAATGGGAAATTATCCCCTGTTTTGCACTTCATCACGGACCATCTTTATCATCTACAAGGTGTGTCAATAAATCGTGACCATTGATCTCAGATTGTACAAGGCTTTCACGCGAAGCGGTTCGCTTGATTGATGGCTGTGAGGCGTGTTGCAATTGGCGAGGTGGGCTGCAAATTGTTGTTGCTGGTGGTACGTGTGGGGGCGGAACTGGTGGTTTGGTGGCGTAGCTGAAGTGGTGTGTAATTGGAGTGAGAATTGGTGGCGGTTTGTGTGAGTTAAATTGGGTTGCTGACATTTGGCGATGGAAGCAGGCTGCGTGCTGTGTTGTTGCGGAGGGCTGGTCGAAGCAGGGGAGCTCGTGCAGCAGCCAAGGCTGCGAATGTGGGGTGAGGTGGTGCCCGAAATAGAAACTTTGCATTGCTATTGTTGTTTGTTCTGAAGTTGAGTGTTATTGTTGTGGTGGAGGTGAGGTGCTGCAAGAAGGAGATGATGTGAGGTGAAAAGCACATAACAACACAACAACTGCAAACAAAACAATAACAAAAGCAAAAGCAAATAAAAGTCAACTAGCAATTTCATTCTAAACTTTAACTCAAAAGATTACAAAGAAAAAGAGATCAAAAAGATAACAAATAAAATAAAAGAGAGTAAAAGTAAAAGAAAAGTAAAATAAAAGAAAAACAAATAAAATATGAAATTATGGACTAAAAACACGATAAACCACTAAAAGTCTTAAACGTGTTACTAAAGGCGAGAATCAATGAAAACTAAGAAAAATAGAGGAAAGTAGAGAAGGGAAATATAGAAAAGGGACCTAAAACTTATTCATTTGAGCGCAATAAATGACGCTCATCACTGTACGATTGTGTATTGACCAAGTATGGGGTTGGGGCTAAGAGTGAGAGAAAATGAACATTGTCAAGGTCATATTTTCGAAATTATGAGGAAGAGTGGTAACAAGCAAGTGATAAATTAGAGCATCAAGATTAGATACAAAGACATTGGTTAATGTAGTTTCTATTTTTAATATTGTAGAGTTTCAAAGTTTCATGAGTAGGGTTTCATCATTTACCAGAAAAGAGAGAGATATATCGAAGAGTGGAGAGATGATTTGGGGAAAAAAAAATATTCATACACTCCACATATCTGTGGATGAACAAAAGAATTATGTTTCCTCTTATGGGGCTAGTTCTTTTGAGGATCTTTCAACCGTTGTAGATTGTTTTTCTTTCCTTTGTATATTGTAGTGAAGATAGTGTCAATTTAGTCATCAATGGCTTAGTATGTGGCTTAAGCTATTAAATAAAATTTATGGAACTTTGTAGCTTCCTTAATTGTCTTTTAAGTACTTAATTTTGTGCAGGTGGGGGGAGTGGATTTTAAGTGATTGCGTGAGTTTAGATTGTCCCAGTAAGCTTCTGACAATGTTGTATGACCGTTTTTTCTTTAAGTTACTATATCTCATATGTTTAGTGGACTATTGGTTACTAATCCTCTATTCTAATTGAGATTTTGATTACCTTGTCTCCATCAACTCTTAGTGTGCAGGATCTATGCCTAGATGCTGATTGTAAGCTATAACCTTAATCTGATATTAATTGTCATAGTGCTGGTTTAAATGAATAATAGTGATTTTTTTTGTTTTGTTTTTTACAGAAAGCTTTTTATTTTTGAGAAGCTGTGCTTGTCAGTTTGTGCTCCTTTTTATTTTATAACCTTAATCTGATATAAATTTTTATGCGTGCAGAACGAATTTTGTTCATCTCAAGCATGATCTTTTAGCTACAAAGGAGAATGAGGTCCATGCATTGGAGGAGTTGCTAGATAAGGTAAAATTCAAATTATTCTGAATTTTAAAAGGATATATATAGCATGTAATATTATGTAAATGTGCACTTTTTTGTACTGGTTATTTGAGTGGGGGCTGACATTACTAAACTTACCATACCAATGTTATCATTTTGTTGTGCTGTTCAATTTTAAAGTAAAGTCGGACTTATATTAAGGGATTAAGTTGGGCTGCCCAATCTGAGGGTTATCAGGCTATCAGCCCAATTTAGGAAGGCACATCCCTCAACTCCCCCTGCACACTATTCCTCCTTTGATCTCAGGCTTTCCTCTAGGAAGTTGGAAGCTCATATAAGTGTATAACACTTGACCCAAGGCTCCTCGGTATATTTGTCCTTAAATGTCATATTTGGTGTCATTGAATCCGAATTTTCCTTAGTCTTTTAAGTAATGACACTTAGGGGCGTTTGGTTCGCACATGGTAAAGGGAATGAAATCAAGAAGGGAAAGGAAAGTAACTCCCTTTGATAAAGATGATGTTTGGTCATTCACCTATCTTCCTTCCTTCACCAATTTCCACCACACTCCCTCTCTCATGTCGCCGCTACCACCCTTCCCCTTTCCGCCGCCACCACCTGTCCCCTAATCCTTTTCCGTTGCTGCAGCCGCCACCACCTCACTTCCCCTTGTTGCAATCGCTGCCACCGTTCCTAATGCCCTCTATGACCGTCGCCCATTTTCTTAAAGTTTACCACTATGAATATGGTAAATTTAAGATTTTAAAGGTCAAATTCAAACATTAAAACTCTTGATATGGAATTGTCATAATCAAATGACTATTTAAAATCACAACCGATGATACGAAAAGAACTTTCCTTTTTTCTTGATTATTTTCTTCTAGAATTTTAGGGTTTATGGTGTTTTTTTTTTTTTTTTTTTTTTTTTTTGGGGGGGGGGGGGTTGTATGACCTGTGCCACCATGTCTTGCTTGTGTATCTAAGCCAATTCTAACTTATTAAAGCGTGCTTTGTCGTGCCGTGTCTTGTCGCGATTTCCCGAAAAACCTAGTCCACTAAGGCTGATCATGGATCGGATATCCGAAAATTCGGTTATTCGATATCCGATATTCGAATGTCCGAAAATTTCCGGATTGGATAGTTCAGGTATCAATATCCGAACCTTTTAATAAATAAATACAAAAAATACAAATTTAATGGAAAATTTGATTTTTGATCTTATTTCTATGTTGTAGAGGCATGTAGCAGGAAAGCAATTGTTATTACTACTTCCGTTTCATATTATTTGCAACAATTTGACATAAAGTGTGAGTAGTAAATGTTTAATCGTTGCAAATAATATGAAACGGAGGTAGTATATCCCAATGTAAGTTCACATAATTCATCTACTCACATAACTAAAGATTTTCTGCCAAATGAGTTGAAGCTTGTATTTTAAAATTATCCCCACAGCTTATGATAGCCAAAACTTTGTGGTCATGCAATTAAGTCCCAGTAAATTACAATCTAAAATCAAATAACCTAGAATAATGTAAGACTAATTATATACCAAAAAAATCATTTATAACAAAAATGAAAAAAATAATCAGGGAAAAAAACATTACAATCTAAAATCAAATAACCCAAAATAATGTAAGACTAATTATATACCAAAATAATCATTTATAACAAAAATGAAAAAAATAATGAGGGAAAAAAAAAAAAGTAAAAGAGTATTCCAATTTTGACCGTTGACGCGAACTTGGTGACGACAATGGATTTGGTGAGCCGTGAAGCTTGAGTTGGTTGACGGAGGTTGGTGAGCGTGAGCCGTTGGAGGAGATCTAAGACACTAAAAGAGCCCACTAAGGTAGGTGAGTCGGTGGTCGGTGCCCGGTGAAGGAGATTTGAGAGAGTGAGAGAAGAGTGAGACTGAAAATTGAGATTCTGCGAAAGAGAGGCGGGGTGGGGCGTGGGGGTTGTTGAAAGAAAGAGAATATTTGGATATCCGATATCCACAGCTATATGATAATAACAGCAAAGCCTGCATTTGCAGTAATCGGTGTGAGGGAGTTATCTGATGCTATTTCAGTATGTTATAGATTAGTCAACATGTCTGAGGAGGTGCAAGTTCAATATCTACATTGGGATTTAGTAGAGTTTATGTTTGGTAGGATTGGGATCTATACATGTTTTAATGGATGTTTGCACTGTGCACACACTGTCAAATTGTGTGATAAATTTTGAAAACTGTACTTAGTTAGTTTGCAGCACCAAATGAGTGCATGACACTTAATCCTCCTGATTCTTGTTGTTTGTATTGTTATTGTTTCATTTATTTTCTCAGCATTACGATCTTATGTTCATCTCCTCTTTTTTCTTTTTTTTTTTAAAAAAAATTTACTATTATTATTTTTATGTCTAGCCTTTGCACCTTGCAGTTTTGCAGATGATTTTGCCTCATGTTTTCTATTTTATTGTTACTGTTCAGTTCATTTTCTCAGCATAACGGTCTTATGTTCATCTCCTTTCTTTTTTTATTTTTAATTATTATTTCTTATCTCTAGCCTTTGCACCCTGCAGTTTCGCAGATGACTTTGCCTCATGTTTTCTAAACGCAACCAATTTTTTTTTTTTAAAAAAATTATGATTCGAGTAATCGTCAAAAAATATATATATCTTGTAACCAGGTTGAAGATCAGAAACATAAAATCAAAGCGCAGATCAAACTTCTCAAAAAGAAACGTGAAGAGTCTGATGACACATCAGGCCCTACAGAAACTATAGAAAAGGTGCACTTCTGAATTTTTAACCTATCACTTATACGCAGATTTAATAGTATTTGACAATTTGTAGAAACTTAATTGTATTATTTCATTTGGTCTTTTATGTGAATGTGATAAATGCATATTATAATCATAATGCAAAAGGGGGTTTAAGAGACCATTTATGCTTTTGGGTGACCATTTAACTGACCATGTTAGAATTGCCCCTTCTAAGTTTTAAAAAGACCATTTGTAATAGGGTTGTGCAGATTCAGACCCGTACCAGAAACCAGACTGGAACCAGACTGGTTAGGACACTGTCTTTAATGACAAAATGGGGAGTTTGTTGCACAATAACAATTCTTGGACACCATAAACAGGCAGTTTGTTGTTTATGGGAAAGGGGGAAGAGGGGGGGGGGGGGTGTAATTTACTATCTTAGTTTTTTCATTCTGCATTTATGAAATGAATTTAGCTGATATATGATATTCTTAATCTGGAGGTTTCTACAAATTTGTTAGATATTAAACGACTTTCTGGCCAATCATTTATGACATTCTTCTCTTAACCAGTATAGTAGCTTGAAGAAAATAAATAATAATTTGAAAGTTGAGAAAATCTTTCTAATGGAAGAAGTAAAACGCAGGGAATATTCCTCATGTAACGTATTAAGGGGGTGTTTGGTCCACAAAATCTAGGTATTTGGTATCGATTTAGAATGGTTTAAAGTCTTTAAACCCTTACCATGTGTTTGGTTGATGATCTTTAGAATTTAAACCCATACCTCAAACCTACACGTAATGAATGGAAAGAATATGTGGACATTAGAAAGTTACAATATATATCTCTTATACTACGTATATGCTATAGATATCCTTGAAGGAAAATAAACATGTTCCAGTCAGGTGAAAGAATGCAATTAATAGGACTTACTGGACAAAATTGATTTGTTTGCATAACACAGCTGCCATATATAGACCAGATCCCTGATCTGGTTCTTTGCTTTGAGCCTTTGATTTATAATTGCTTCTGCTTCATCTTCAATTGTTTTGTAGAATTTACTTTTTTGACCTGGTTCTTCTCTAACCGACTTTCTTGTGCTGGTTTTTTTTACGTTATACGAAGTATATCCTAAAGTGAGATAACGCTTAATTAATTTTTAATGTTCCGTAACTTATGTGATGATTGCAGTTGAGATCTATGATGGTTAGCTATGGGAGTTACAGTGACAAAGGGATTTCTGATCATAGATGAGGCATGAAAGGAGCTTCTGGCTTTCAAGTAGGCATGTCTAACTGGTGCGTTGCAAAAATATACATTATTTGTTATCGTTTTAGTAGTTGTTTGGCTCAGCAAACTAAAATGGAATGGATTGGGAATACTACGCTAAATTTGTTTGATTTATACATGATTGAATGTTCTAGTTAAAATTTGTATTTTGGGTGGAATATAATTAGATTTTTAGAGGGTAAAGTGGGTATGAAATTGTAGGGGTTTGGAATGGGGTTAACTACTAATGGTATGGGGTTACATAGCAAAAATTGTTCCACCAAAGAATGATCTATTCCAACCCACTCCAAAAAGCCCAACCAAATTTGAGTGTCATCTTTTATTAAGGCAAAAACCCATATGAGATGATGTGGTCTCAATGTAACTTAATATGATGTCAAGTGTTTCGTCACTAATTAATGGTAACACCATAACGTAAGTTTTTATTGATGAAATTAGTGATGTCCTGTCTTATTACTTTTAAAATCATATTGTGGTACTTGAGTTTCCATGTATAAGTTACAAACTGAAAGTTAGCAAGCAATAGAGGAACTAATTTAAAGAAATACAAAATAAACACCCCCTAATCAAAGCTCGATATATTTGAGTTACATGAATATGAAAGCATGAATATGATGGCTAACATTTCTAAGGTCATGAGTTAAATTCTATTAGAAGCATTTTTACTAATCAATAATCTAAATTATTTCATAGTTGATTGAATGGATGTTGTTACATGCGTATAGTGTATGAAAGAGGTGCCACATGATACTAATATACTTCCTCTGTTTCTAATTTTTTCTCTCATTTGACTTTTCACGGTCTTAAAACATACGAAGTATTTATCTAAATTCTATATGCATAAAAATTATAAAAATTTGATATCCTTAAAAGTAATTGTTGTAATGAACTTAACAATACGGCAAGGCCCCACTTAATTATAATTTAATACTCCCTCCGTATTTTATTACTTGCTCCACTTTTCTATTGTGGTCGTATTTTATTACTCGCTCCATTTTCTTTTTTGGAAACTTTTAACAATATTATTTACTATTTTTCTCCCCATATTTTAATATTTTTTGTATTCTCTCCTTCCACTTATACTCACTATTGCTTTTTCATAATTTTTAATTCTTTAACCAACCCCACTTCAATCATAAAATAATATTTTTTACTATTCTTCCTAAAACTCCGTGTCCGGAGAAATTGAACAAGTAATATAATACGGAGGGGTATAGAATAGTGAAAAGTTATGGTTACTGTTTTCAAATCTTAACCCCGGAAAACACAATGGGACAAAAAAATAGAGATGAAGAGAGTAATACAGATACTTAGATATTCTCACCCCCGAAATTTGGAAATTAAGGGCAATACTATATAAGGGAAGTCAAACCCATACATTGGATTGTACTCGGCGAGCTCAAACCCGAGTAGTTTATTGATTGGTTCGGTTCATTTACACCATAATTAAAGGAAATGGGTAGGCAATAGACTTTAAAAGGTCTAAGTTCCTTAAGCATAGTTGTACTCCTACCATAGTTAAAGAAGTGTGGTTTTATGTTTCCTTACAGTAAAGGCTAAACAAAGAAGGAATTACTAAACATGAAAAAGATTAATGTGACAAACGTTTGCAATATCATGAGCTCTCTGAACTTGTTGTCTGTCAACTTTGACAGTACGGCATTGATAGAGCTTAACTGCTTTCCCTCTAATGTCGTTGACAAAAAATTAGCTTAAACAAGACCAAACAACTAGCATATCTTACCTAAAATCTAATTTTAAGGCAATATCGATTATATTTCCGTTTTGGGAGAAATTTGAAAACTTTGCAAAGCTTTACTATAAATGGGAAGCCAAATTCATTCGTTGGTTTTACAGAAAATGGACAAGCAATAGACTTTAAGGAGGTGTTTAGTTCATACTCTGTAGAAATTAAGGGGCCGTTGGTATGAATATTAGAAATGGGGTGGAAAGGAACAAATATGAGGGAGGAAAAGAATTATTTAATGCTTACTTTTTCATTTGTTTTGGTTTAACGAAATAAATCACTTAAATCTTACTCCTTTTTTATTTAATTTTTTTGGAAGAGGCCCAAGAGGGATATTGGTAATTGTTACTCTAACCTTTTAACCAAACATTGGTCGCGGTAATGGTTTTATTGAATCCGTTTCCATTTCAAAACACACTCTTACCAAACATACTTTAATAAATATGAAGTATAAGTTGGGAATAGATAAAACTCATACTTATAGTTTGTTTGGATAGCAAAGTGGAAGAGAAAGGGAAGGGAAGGAGGTAAGAAGAAGGAAGGGGGAGGAATGGAAGGGAAGGGAGAAGGTAAGGTTACATTTTCCCTCCAAATCTTTCCAACAATGAAACGATTTGGTTTATTAAAGAGAGGGGGAAATGAATCCTTTCTCTCTATCAAAAGGTATCCAAAGAAGGGATTATCTTTTCTCTTCTCTTTTCTTCCTTTCCCTACAATTCTCTAATGTTTGTTTAAGAAAAATTTTAATTTCAAAATTCATACCGCAAATCCATAAAGTTGGGTTTTAGAGACGCGAAGGAGGAATGTAGGTATGGCTCATACCAACCAAACACGGTTGTAAAAATTCAAGGAGGAATGTTGGTTTTATTCCTTATTCCAAATTCATACCAGTCAATGAACCTTTTGCCTCTTTCCCTATCAAAATGTACTCTTTTTTGTAGCAGATACGTAGATTAGTCTCGTGCATTGCACGATTTAAATAGCTTTATTACTCTATATTGTTTTTTTTTTAGCAGCCATTATTCTTCATTTTTTTGAAAGAAGTATTTATTTAATTTTAGAACTAAGAGTTTAGATGGAAAATTTTTTTGTAAGAAGTTGACTTGTGTCCATTAATAATGTTAGCTTGACCTATTTTAGTAATAGTTACTCGTAATAGATATCAAGATAGTATAACTACCAATCTCTGCAAACTTAAATATATAGTCTGTACTTTGCATTATTTTATTTTATTTCTAATAAAGGAATGAGGTAATATGGTAATGACTTTTGTAATAATTTAATCGATGCTCATATATGTAAGGCTAAAACAATGGTGATTTCCAGCTATAGTGATGACGGTGTGAATGACGTACTGTGACTTGCTTATACGATTTGACTTTAATTTGCACACAAAAAATCATTTAAATATTGATTAGCTTAATTAATATGTAGCGTATTTTGTCTATATTCCAGAATTAAGTCAATAAGCATTTTTTAATTAGTTGACATTTTAGCATTTTGTATCAAAGAAGTTTATTCTCTCAAAAATTATATATTTTTTTTTCACCTAATACGTGAAAATTGTAGGCACAAACGTGAAGCAATGATCATAGGTAATTGATTAGTATTTGAACATATACATGTTCCACTCACTCGGTCACTCCTATGAATCTATGATATTTGTATGTTATGACGTAATGAAGTCTTCTTTATACAAAGTACTCTCTCTATTTTTATTTTTTATTTTTTTTTATAAGTTAGAGATGAAATTACACGAAATTTTAGGAGGTTTGATAAAATAAGATGTTAGTGGAGTAGATAAAGTTATTATTTTATTGAAAAGTAAAGTGGTGTATGAGGTAGCGGGGACCATTAGAGGAGCGAGAAATGATAAAGTGAGAAAGAGTGGAAACATTAGTGGGTAAAGATATATTATTAAATTGTTAGAGGATTTTCAAAAATGGAACTCTAGCTTATAAAAAAACGGACGAAAATAGTAACTCTAGCTTATAATTAAATAAATAAATAAAAAAAATAAAAAAATAAAAAAAAAATAAAAAAACCGAGGGTGTATATCCTAATATCCATGCGTTGTCCTTCAATTAAATCTTTTATATTTTCTGATCATAGTGTTGATAAATGTATGCACACTGAGCTTTCATAGTAACCGATAGAGTATATAAACTAATCTCGAACTTTTAACTATAACTTTACGTTTTTGGTTAAGTTGGTCCTCAATCATAATGATATTAGAGTCAATGGGACAAAATGATCATGCGTTCGAATCTCATACACCCCTCCTTTCAAAGTAAAATATTAAGTGCTGAGTATGGTGAGACCTCCTTAGTAAGTAAAATATTAAGCACCGAGTATGGTGAGTCCCACACTTCATCCACACTTTAAACTTAACAAGACTCTCATGTAAGTGGACGTGATTGTATATATAAAGCAATCTTACACTTTAATCAAAAACTTTTGGTTGAATACTTGAATTGGTTGATTGAAAAAAACCGATTTTGTCTCATGATGACCTCAATGTATAAGTTTAAACCTATTAGGGATTTTTTGGAAGGTAAGTTGAACCTTTTCTCATTTTTCACTTCCCCCCTCACACTCGAGGAACCGATAAATATGATCACATGATAGAGCCTTGGGCAAATCTAATTGAGTCAATCATTAATCTTTTCTCGTTAAAAGATATAGTAGTGAAACATATACATGATCCAATTGTAGATTAATTAATAAAGTAATCATTGTAGAAGACATTTATATACTGGTAGGGTTTTGTGGTAAACTTACTTTCTTACTCTAATTCACTTTTTTCATACTTTCCTAGTAGTTTAAAAAGTTACACTATAATGATTAATTGAATCAAACTTTATTCTAATTACTTTGGAAGGAGTATATGAAGCAAGATCTAATTTTACTCTCAAGTATACTAAAAATTATTCTAAAGGCTAGTGCTAATACACCCAATAAAACAGAGTAACATTATTAGTTGAACCCTAGAATAATTCAAGTGAAGTTGTTATAGAGATCCATGGATAGAGTGTATATATAAGAACATTCCTAGAAGTATCCTTATTTAACCTTTGCTATTGTTTATGTTAATATTATTGCCTTAAAAAGTCAACGGTATGGGGGTTTAGCCGCATCACATAGTGTTAATAAAAAATAATTAGCTATAAGAGTTGTCGATTTGACTTGTAATTTGTAAATATGTTATGCCTTTGTCAATGCTTTAGTATTTTACTATTTTATATCAAATATCAATTTTGTTTTTACGGGCAACAATAAGATTTAAGAATAAAAAAAATATTATAGTGTTGTTTGATTGAGGAATCCATGGTAGTAAAGAAATACGCAATGATTTTACGATTTGTTTGTCCTCTTGAATTCTGGATACTTCTTCAACTTGTTATCTCTTTCATAGGATGATTGATTACCCTTTCCATGACTTTCTTGCACTCTATGTTTTCCTATCTCTACCTCGATCTATGTCGTTCCCTAGTATATATGTGTACTAGTTTTGTGTCCGGACGATGCTCAAATGGTTGATAAAATTTTAAGATAACATTTTTACTTGAAAGTTAAATACCAAATTATTTGTTATGATAATGTAGGATATTTAGACATACGATATCATATGGATTGTACTTTGTGTAGTCTTGTTTGTAAATAATAGATATCTATGTTATTATTGAC